TTTTTTTTTTTTTTTTTTTTTTTTTTTTTTTTTTGGTTTATAAAAATTAAGCTTATAAACATTCTTAAACCAATAAGTTTCTTTGTTTCCCTATCGACTTTGTATAAATGTTTTCAAAACATAAAAAAGTAGTTTTATTTTTGAAATTTGGCTAGGAATTCAAATATCTCCTTGAGAAAGATGTTAAAAAAATTGTGGGGCATCACAATTTTCAAAAACCAAAAACGGTAGAATTTGTTTAGGCGTCTGCAGTTTCCAACCTTAAAACATGTAGCAGACGACAGCTTTTGGTATCTCTGACTCCCTTAACTGGAACTTCTCATAAAGGTAGTTGACTTGGTAACTGCACAAGCTTTGATTAGAAGCAAAATCGTCCTTCGAATCGTTTGGTGTTAAAGCCTGGAGAAAAATAGGGGACAGCCATACATGGCAATTTCCTTGGCTTTTAATTAATTGAGGATTTTCTGTAGGTTCTCTTCTGTAGCATGGAGAACGGGCGAGCATCTTTCGTGCGTCAACTGGAACCCGATTGGCATATAGATTCCAATCCCGATATCATTTTTCAGTTAGCTGTAAGTTAATCATCCATCATGTTAGCAAGTTTTATTGTTCTCTAGCACCTGCAAATACATGGTGATCACTGATATTTTTCCTTTACTCATCACCAGAGGTTCATCAAATATCAACTTCACGTAGCTCCAATCAAACACGAGCGAGCTGCTTCTAACGTTTACTGCTCTCCATCCTTGGAACAGTTCTTTGGAAACATTTGACTTGAAACCAGTTCAAGAATGGAATTAACTTTCAAATATAGTTTATCATTTTATTTGGGCCTTGTTGATTGTTATTGCATTTGGTTCTCTTTAGGAACTAAGCAAGCTCAGTTTGCACTAGGCCGCCGTTGCTGGTGTTAGATAAGATAGGTGTACCATGCCTTTTTCTTTTTTGTGTTTCTGCAAAGATATTGTGTTGTCTTTGGCAGAGCAACTTTATGTCCCATTAATATACACCTAGTTTAACTGATGTAATTTATTAGATCTTCTCAGGCATGACGAATGCCAATTGGGTTACCAACTTTATGTCACTTTTCTTGGACAAAACTTGAAAGTGTGGACTTTTCCAACGAAAACTAAGCTGATATGATATAATCTTCATGTTTAAAAAGGTAGTATGCTCTAAAACATAGAGATTAGGAACCTAATTGTAAATAACCTTAATAATCTATGCTTGGATTGACGAAATCAATTAATGAGACTGAATTGCTTTCTCATAATTTTTAAAAGGAGTGTTCTAAAAAGTTTCTTCCTACTTTATTTGGTATAACTCAAATGGCGATGCCCCAAGTTCTTACAAAAGCAGCCATAGCCAGCCAGCCCCGTGGCATTGCCTCCATGATGAACTTTCACTGTTTCAAACATCTATACACAAGTGTTTCAAGAATTTAGCCGTAGAAATTTTCAAATGATTCCACATTTGCACGCACGGACACCTAGAAAAGAAAAGATAATAATGAGAAAAATTGATTTGTTATTGCAAGTTTGTGGTTTAATCATTCTGCTAAAGCAAAACCTCAAGCAAAGTGGACTCGTTTAACAAGTCTAAAATGGTTCTATAATGAAGCTGACTGTATAAGCTGCATATTTGTTGATCATTTTTATAGCATTCATTGCAGCAGGTGAGTCATTGGCCAAGTCCCCTTCAATGGTGTTATTTTCTGCAAGCAAGGTAGATGCCAGATATGATTGCAACTCCAGCAACTGCAATGCCTAGTGACGTAAAGATCTTTACAACAGGGACTCGTTTTTGCTCCGGCATTTCCAAAAGATCCTTGAGCTGCAATTTCCAGAAAAATATACATGGCAAGAGTGAGGCTGCATTCGAATCATTACTATAAAGAGGAACAATGGTAGTAGCCTCGTTGAGTTCCTTAAAAATGGGAGAATCTAGCCTACCTTAACAGGCTGCTGCCAATTCTTCTTGATTCCATTTAGGTGACCTTTCCCGACAACCGCAACAACTGAACGATGCTCCTTGGCTACTCTTAGCAACGTAGTGGACATGTACCTGAAACGTGTATAGATAGGGGCAAAAAAATAGTCAAGAATGTGAAAAATGGATGTCGAAAAAATAAAAAACCTAATGCAAACAATAATGAAGGATATATGATAATGAAATCAGAGCACCAGTCATTGAGAAGATAAATGATTTTGATTTGTAAGATTCCTATGATTCCATGAAGAATCTTCCTATGATTCCATGAAATACAAATCAAGGGGGAACGCAGTATTCTTTATTTTATAATGTAACCTGTAACCATGTTCTTAGTCCAGCGAAACAACTCAAGCATGAATGAGAATCATGTCTCTTTTAAGTTTTAGGAATTGTTTGACAATTTGTTGAATAGAACAATTTTTAAGAATTGTAATAGGAGGCCTTGGCATAAAGTCGCTAACATCATAATTTCCATAGTGAAAACAACTTGATTTATTCTTAAAAAATGGTAATTCATGAGAAAGAAACGAAGGAAAATAAAGAAAAAGTGCCTTTATACATGTCACCCAAACATGTAACTAGTTGAATTTCTATGCACAAAAAGAAAAAGACTACTTCATTCAGAGAAAATGTTTTTCTAAAAATCCACTTAATTTATTCCTGTTTGAATTTAGAAAACCCATTGAATCCATAATCAATAAAACAGAATTTTGAAAAAGGAAAAGGGTAATCAGCATCAAACAGAACAAAGGTAAATGTACAAACTGATCTCGCTCATGCACAAGAGTGTCCATCAATGTGGGAAATTCCTTGCTCATTTCTTGAATTATGAGTGTGAGCATGTCAACATCGTCCATATCCTTCAACTGAAGACAAAAGTACGGTTTGTTTTGGAATCAGTTTCTAAATGCCTCACAATTAAAAAGAGAAATAGAGGAGAATGGGCACTTGTGAGGAAAAAGAGAGAGAGATGGTATATGAAATGGTACCATTTTGGTTAGTTCCTCAGGGCCTGGCAAAAAGAAAGCTTGAAAAACGAAGGAGTAAAGCAATTTTATCTTATGCCAAAGTGGCATTTTCGCCCATGCCCTCCTTATTGTAATCTGTTGCGTAAACGTCAAAATATTACAGATCATTCGGGTATATAAAAATAACAAACTGAAAGTCATCTCGTTGAAGAATATGAGATAAGGATATAAATCAAAATAACCAGAAAGAAAAGGTAAGGAGACAAGTCCTGCTTAAAAACTAACAGAGGAAAAATGCAATAGGAATAGAATGTCATCTAATCGTAAGTCTGCACATTTGGCAAAGGATTATCCATTCGAACAAAAGAAGTACCAACCAAAGCACACAAAGAGGATGGACAAATAGATGGAAATGATGGATGCAACAGCCAACACAATATAAAACACCTTTAAAGCGAACATTATACGATAATTAAAGCCCTTAAATGTGCTTTGAGGCTTGAGCAGACCAGGAATTGTCTTAAGAACAGACTATTATACCACAGAAGAAACTTCTTCAGGGTAAATTACTCTCAAAGAAGCAGATTAGTTGGGACAATCAAATTGACTTTTGAAACAAATGTAATAGAACAATAAATATGATTAAAAGGGATAATTTATTCAAGAAATCCCATCACCAAGAGGATCATACCTGTACTGGACGATCACCAAGAAGGACCTTACCACCATACTTCATTGCTTCTTCATAGGCTACACGAAACTCAGAACCAGGAAAGACTTCAAGTTTGTTGGCTACCTAAGATAAAAGCAAGACATATAATTCGAATAAGACACAATCTTTCAATTGAATTGTAAAACAAATGACGTGTAAAATATATAGAACATAAAGAAATAACATGCCTTGGCAAGAAACCAACTGTAGAGAATACCAAAGATGTTATGCTTTTTCTTCCACATTTCAACCATTTCTCCCATAGTTGGAACCTGGTGAACTAAAGGTCAGGAAGAGCAAAAATTGAGAGCTAAACAAGAAGCCTACGCATGCTGTACACCAGCAAATTTGTATAATCGATGTTATTAAGCAACCAGTGTGGTTATTCAAGACTCATGTTCAGAACCCTAAACCAACAAGCTATTCGATTGAATTTGAAATAATCGCCATAATCAAATTACAACCGTACCTTCAAATTCTGAGGTGTGAGAACAGCCACTCGGCTCGAGCATAATTCCAAGAAGACAACCTGCATATGCAAGGCATTCAATGAACAAACACGAAAGCAAATGCAACATGTAAAAACGCCTTTCGAAAGCGGGCTGCTAACCTGCAGAATCACCCATCTTTCAATCTAGTATAACTGAGTTTCAAAAAAAAGAGGAAGCACCTGAGGTTTCAAATAACTGATTACAGCTTGAACTTCTCTGCACGATTCCTGCACCCATACAAGTGATCTAATTCATCTCTAACTCGAGTACTCCAATTAATCTTGGCAGCTAACAACAAACAAAATTCCGAAAGGGGTCTAGCAATCTCTCACCAATCCATGTTTTCCTTCTCACACCCTCCAAATTTCAAAAAGAAAATGCAACAAATACAAGCCAATTAATCACAATCGAAAATCAAAAGGTTACTTGAGAAACGTGTGCTGTTCCAACAAGGTAGACATCACAAATGCCACCCTCATCAGCGGTCTCGCAAGTCAATACCACCACGCTTCTAGAAAGCTCCTCCGGAAGGACTCTACTCTGCTCCGTGAAACCTTCTTCGGCCTCGGGCAAAATCACAGAGGCTGCCTCGTCATTAATCTGTTCATCGGTAGTACTAACAATACTCTGAACCAAACTCTCGATATCCGGATTCTCGATGTGGACAAAATCTTCCACAGAAGGGGAATCAGATTCCGGAGGAACCGGGTCCATCGCCTGGGGCAGACGGGGAGGCCGACGGGGAGGGTCAGAGATTTTGGGCAAGAAAAATCCGAATCTGAGTGGAGTTGAAAAATGCCGGTGGGTTTTGAAGGCTAGGGCATGATTAGGACGGCGGAGATGAGGTTTGACGGTGGCGGGTTCATAGAACAATCGTGACTCGAACGAGTTGAGCTGAGTTCCAAAACGAGTCAATCGATTCATATACCTCGGCCGCCTAGTCTTACCCGCACTTCAAGATTCAATATATATACAATTAAATGCCAAAACATTTTTCGTGTATCAAATCAAGCGTGTCACGTTCTGATTGGTTGTCCAACGCAATTATTTTGCCACGAATCAGCCGTAAAAAACAATTAATATATTTTTATTTTCGACAATCACTTTCCGTTTTTCAATTTGGAATCAGTAATGGAATTTCCAATTTTATTTTTAATAATTCCAAATTGGTATTAATTGTATAATTAAGAAATTGAATTATAATTTGGGGTCAATTATATACATAAATAAATAAATAAAATTGAATTATTCTCGAGTCATAATACATGGAAAGTCACAATATTAGTAGACAAATAATAATACCTGAGGAACAATATAACCACATTTAATATAGTATGCAATTAATGTTTTTTTTTCCTAAAATGTTCTTAGACATTTTTATTAATATCTAAAATATTTTCCTCATTTCTCGCATTTCATTTAATTGTTGATAACCATTTTAATTGTTTTGAGATAATTCAATAACTATTTAGTTTTATGATATTTTTTTATAATTATATTAGATTTCAAAATAATATATTCCATGATTCTTCAAACACAATTTAATTTTTAAAATATTAGTAAAAAGTAGATAACATGCTTAATTTTTATATTAATTTGGTCCCTAGACAAGTATCAATAATCTCAGTACAGCTTGGAAACATAATTATTAAAAATTATAAATTTAATTACTATAATTTAATATTGATAAAAAATTCGTTGAAAAATTAAAAGAAATAATAAATTTTATTAGATAATAACAATAATCCTTACAATGGAGGAATTAAATAAAAATTATAAATTACAAATTATTACAAAAACTTGAGCATTAAATTTTAGTATGCCACGATCCAGCGAGAGTGACACCAGGAAAGCCATAGCAAAGAGTCTGCAACGAGGACACGATCCTTGACCTGAATCTTACATGAATTATCGATCTCTGCCATGCTTCGTCTAGCAATCATTCAGTCGAAAATGGAAAATACATAAAAATAAAAAAAAAAAAACTCAGAATCTATTAGCAATTTCAAGCAATGGATCATATTGATTAACAAAAAATGCAAGTATGAAGTAAAGGGATTTTTAGAGGTTAGCTCCTGAAGTGAAAATGTCTGAGGTGTTTCCACGATTGAATGGGATTGAGGCTAACCATCAATCAGGATGGCCACATTACTGATATTGCGTCCGAGCCATTATGCCAAGAGGAACTGAAATAATCCCCCAGAATTGGTAATGGACGCACTGTTCTAACCCCTAAAAATACCCTTCCTATTATCACACAAAACTAATCTAAACACACTGTAAATCTTAAATGGAATCAAACAAAGAAGCTCAGTGGAAGGAGAAGTCGTTTAATATACAGGCTCACGGCATAACTCGATCAAAAGTTATGGCCACTGCCCACAACACGTCCAAGTGCTTAACATCATCATTGCTTCTTAATCAGCAGAATCGATTATACGTCATGCAGAAGCATATGAATACTACAAGAATGAATTACCGATCACAAACATTCAAACGAATCTACACTAAATCATGTAAAACAGGCTTCAGTGTGTGTAACAGTCAGATCATTGATAAACTCACTGAAATCCGCTAAGATTATTTGAAATATCATCATAAGCCCGTATAATCGAACACGAAATTAAAAAATTATCAAACAAAACTACGCTTCTAACAAATTCCAGAGAGTGCTCAGACAGCCAAGGGTATATTAATCAGATCCCGGGAATTGACCCAGATCAGAAACTCTAGTCCACGAAAATTGCATCATCACAGCAACTCAGCACAGATAAAAAATATGAAAAGAAAACGAGCATCGAAGTTGAAGGAGAAAGAAGAAGGGTTTGAAAACTATGCAGAATGAAAAAGTAAGCTATGCACTAAGACCTTCTGTTTGAATGGAAACTCGAACTGCAGTTGGAAAGAGAACAATGGAGAAATCGACGATGTCATGAGCATGGTCCAATGGTGACTTTATAGGCCATCGACTGAGAAATTAGGGTTTCCCGTATCGGCAAGTTTAGGGTTTTTCTTGATTTCATCGGCGCAGCACTGGGCTGGGCCTCAACATTAGTAATTTAGCCCATTAAAAGAGGCCCATGGACTCAAACTTCGAGATGGGCCGGGCCTCAACATTAGTAATTTAGCCCATTAAAGTAGGCCCATGACTCAAACTTCGAGCTGGGTTGGGCCTCAATATTAGTAATTTAGCCCATTAAAAGAGGCCCATGGACTCAAACTTCGAGATGGGCTGGGCCTCAACATTAGTAATTAGCCCATTAAAAGAGGCCCACGGACTCAAACTTCGAGCTGGGTTGGGCCTCAACATTAGTAATTTAGCCCATTAAAAGAGGCCCATGGACTCAAACTTTGAGCTGGGCTGGGCCTCAACATTAGTAATTTAGCCCATTAAAAGAGGCCCACGGACTCAAACTTCGAGCTGGGTTGGGCCTCAACATTAGTAATTTAGCCCATTTAAAAGAGGCCCATGGACTCAAACTTCGAGCTGGGCTGGGCCTCAACATTAGTAATTTAGCCCATTAAAAGAGGCCCACGGACTCAAACTTCGAGCTGGGCTGGGCCTCAACATTAGTAATTTAGCCCATTAAAAGAGGCCCATGGACTCAAACTTCGAGCTGGGATGGGCCTCAACATTAGTAATTTAGCCCATTAAAAGAGGCCGACGGACTGTCGGGTTGTTTAGTTATTTAAAAAATTCTTTAAATTATCTTACCTTAATAACTAAAATATCATAAAACCAAATATCAAAAGCCTTCTCAACCAACACATTTCTAACCTTAGTTGCAAAAGTCAAAGTTCATAATAATCTTACATTAATGGTAAAAGTCAAAAGTTTCTTAATATTCATAATAATCTTAAAAACATAATCGAACTGTAATTTTTATTTTAATGACTAAAAATTATGAACTGACCTGAATTTTTTAATTTTTTAAAAATGCAGCTCAACCAAACCGAAAAAAATCTACCACAATTTAATCTTAATAATTTCGATTGGTTAATTCCGATTAGTCAGATTCTCAAGTCATATGAATACCTCAATTCAAAATTTCAAACATGAGTAGAAATTTAAACCTATTATTTTTAATGAAATCTTCCCGATCAAGTGTATCATATTTAAATAAATTAGTTGCGTAAAGAAAAAGGGTAAGTACGCGCTCTATAACAACAAGCACAAAAAACGCGTCTCAGAGTTATAGATGGGTCACTATGTATTTCTTTTCGACTCCTAAAAAACGATAGTTTCTCGCCTCATAAGGTGGAAGGGAACATCAAACCTAATCGAAACTATGAAACTAGTTGATAATTATTGAAATTGTTCGAGATATTTTCATTTTAACTGTGGATAAGATTGTTGAAAGCACATGTCGAACAAACACACATCGGAATTGTCAAGGTTGCAAGATGAGTGGTTAATGTTGGGACCCAAAATTGAGTAATATAATTGAGTGACAAATTAAAAGCTTACATTATTTATTTTCCTCTCCCTAATATTTGATTGGCTCTTGTTTATTCTCAATTTATTTTTTAAACATATAAAATTATTTTTTCTTAATTATTTGTGCACTTTATGATAAAATGAATGGGATGCATTGAATTTGAAGCTCTAATAATACTACCATCATCATTGAATTTATTCATATTAAATATTTGAATCTATAAGATTTCTCTTAATATTTAAAATTAATATTTAAAATAATTGAGGTGACAATAATAAAATATGGAGTAACCAAAGAGACAAAGATCTCTACTGTTAAGATTAAAAGACGGGATCACGCCCACCGTTAGTAGATATTGTACGCGTTGATCCGTTACATTTCATCGTCAATCTCATGGTTTTAACATGCATCTACTAGGAAGAAGTTTCTACACTCTTATAAGGAATGTTTCGTTCTTCTCTCCAACTGATGTAGAACCTCACGATCCACCCTTTGGAGCCAACATCCTCATTGGTACAGTGGCTGGTATTTAGCTCTAATACCATTTGTAACAGCTCAAACCCACAGCTAGTGGATATTGTCTGCTTTGGTCCGTTACGTATCTTCATCACCCTTATGGTTCTGAAACGCGCCTAACTATACTAGGGAGAGGTTTCACATCCTTGCATCATTCCCCTCTTCGACCGATGTAAGACCTCACAATCCACCCTTGGGGTCCAGCATCTTCGTTGGCACACTGCTCGGTGTTCACCAATTTCATCGTGCTGACCAAAGACAGATACAACTCAATAATTTACCAACAAGTCTTTGGTAATTCATTTATATAAGAGAAGTCAAATTCAGAATTAATAAGGTTTTATACGAGGATCGGTGGGATGTGTTGTAGCTTTAAGAGATAGGGTCGGAGTCTAAACTACCATCTATTTATTTTATTTTATTTCCAATTAAAAGTAGGAATTTTTAAAAGAAATTGCAACAGCGAGAAATGCTGCGTCTCCCATTGGAGGAAAGGGTAAGGCGAAGAAGAACAATAATGAAGTTTGTTTTCATGCACAGATAATTTATTCAAATCAGAATCTTATGAACACCACAAGAAAAATAAGGAACATTACAGCGGAATTCCCATTATTCAATTCATAAATCTCCCAAAGCCCTTAAAAGTTCTAAATCAAAATCATTCAAAGGTCACATCACACACGAATTTATGCCAAGAAATCAGGGGAGCTACGATTTAGAGCCGATCTTCAACCCATGAACCGATTAACTATTCACCACGCCGCATCGCTTTCTGATTTCGCCTTCAGTACCAGTCTTCACGTTAATCCGACCCATTTTCTCCATGGCTGCAGCAAATTCAGCGAAGAACTCTTCAATGGGTCCTTCGACAAGTTTCTGAACTAGACCCAATGAAGTTGCGTCTTTAGTGAGAGCAGAGTCGGATTGGAAAAGGCCCCTTCGTTTGAGAAGAAGAGAGTAGTAGCTAAGGTCAAATGTTTTACGACTCCCTGGGTCCATTTCCACTTTGCTGTTGTCGGTGGGAGTTTTGCATTTGTTGGCCTTGAGATTAGCGGCGTATCTTGGGTCCAGGGAGGGGTCTTGGTCACCGACGCCGGTGAAGTTGTAGAGTCGGTTGCGGAATGATGAGCAATGGGCTATGCCGATTGTGTGTGCGCCTGTAGTGATAAGTGCACGCAAGGTGTTTGAGAAAAGTACTGAGAGAAGAAATGAGTAGTTTTTCAGGTTTTAACTCACCAGATAGTAATACTAAGTCCTTAACATCAAGGCCTTGGTTTCCGAAAAGGGTTTGGAGTCTTGAGAAATTTGAAGATGGTGGAGGAATGTTGGCTGTGGCTTCTGATGACCTTGAGATCACTCCATCCCTTCGCCCTGTTGGAACTTCCCAGTAAGGACCTCCCTGCACATTCAGATGAACATGTCTATCACACAAGGAAAACGAGTCGCTTCTTTTTCATCTTTCGACAAGAAAACAGAGTAAAAACGGGCTTGAACACTGAAAAAGTAAGAGTATTCGATCGGTTTGTGTGGATCCTTACCGTGGCTACAATGGTATCTCTAGTAACCAAGGAAAGAACATCTGCACAAGACACAACTCCAGGGCATTCAGCTTCAAGTAAGCTTTTAACTCTATCGATGAAGTCAAAGCCTCTGAGTGTTTGATTTGGAGGAGCATCCTTCTCAGCTTGGTTATTTGAAGTGGTGTTAATAAGAACCGATGCATCACAACCCTGTTAAGCAACTCATCAAAACGAGAGAATTCTGATCAAGATGGAAATGATAAGAAACCTTACCCTGACGAAGCAATCATGGAAGTGCATTCTAATGAATGTTGCCGCCAGTGAAGGAGCATTATGGATATGCTGATGAACAAAGTCCAGCACAATCTTCTCAGCGTTTGGGCAGCTATTGGCATAGAAACCAAGCTGCAACTGAGCTTGAGTGGAGCCTATGAGGCCTATCAGACAAACTATAGTAGCCAACACCAAAGAGGTAAGCTGCCCCATTTTCATTCTCAGAATTTACTTCTGTTAGTATGTCTTCAACCTGTTTACTTGGCATTCCATAACAGAGGGAAGAGGCTTATATACTCTAACAAAACAAACAAGACAAGGAGCAAAATGTTGGAATACAATTAAAATATATTCTAGGTGGAGTTTTAGAGTAATCTAGACCTGATTAGTTAGGCACATTCCTTGTAGGACAACAGGAACAGGCTCCTTTTATTATGCCACTGTTCAATGGTAGAATGTGCTCACAGCAAAGAATCAAAATTCCTTCTCTTTTTCTTAACGCAATGGCATTGTTTAGTCTGAATATAATTGTTTACAGAATAGCAGTAGTTAGCGAAGATTATCATTAAATCAAGGATCAGTGGCCCACTTAGAGAGATGATTTCAACACATACAATTAAATCCAGCTAAATGTAGGGCCTGTCTAGAAAATTCTTAGATAACATTCACCATGTATCCATCCATTATTCTTCACAAAAATTTATCGTTACTCATGTTTGAAATACTAATGAGAAGAAAAAGAAAAGAACCTCTCCTTTTTTGAGGGATTGATGTGAAAACAACCACGAAAACCAACTGGCTCCATGTGTTACTTACCCCGTAAACTTTGCATTCAGCTCTCACAAGGAATGAAACATTCTGTATAAGGGTGTTGAAACCTCTATTTAGTAGACGTGTTTCTAAATCGTGAGGCTGATGCGATATTAGCAGGCTAAGGCGGATAATATCTATTAGCGGTGGGCTTGAGCTGTTACAAATGGTATCAAAGCCAGTCACCAAGCGGTGTGCCAACGAAGATGCTGGACCTCCGAGGAGGTGAATTGTGAGATCTCACATCAGTTGGAGAGGGGAACGAAGCATTCCTTATAAGGGTGTGGAAACCTCTCCCTAGTAGACACGTTTTACAATCGTAAGGCTGACGGCGATACATAACGAGCCAAAACAGACAATATCTGCTAGCAGTGTGGACTCTTACATCGACTATATCAAACCTCTATGATGTTTTC